TAACTTTCTAAAAAGATCTATGGAATTTTCTAAACATTTGGCATTGCATTATAATAATATAAATGTTTTATCGGAAGAATATTTAACTTTCCAAAAATATCTATGGAATTTTATAAACATTTGGCATTGCATATGCCTCGTATGAAATACTTTTGTAATATTAGCAGCAGTCAAATCTTATTAAAGTATGCCCCACCCCAACAGCTTATCCCATATTGCAACTTAGTATGAATAAGTTAGTGGTGCACTATTTTTAGAATCTTACTTGAGCACAACTTTTTAAGACGGTAGAAGGAACGTATGGTTGACAATAAATACTGTTTAATGGCGGAAATATGCGGAGACCAACTTAAATTTTTGTCTACTTTAACCCCTAAATATTTAAAGTCGGTAGCAACTTCTATCTTGAAACATTTCTTATCACGAGCGATTTTTCGGTCAAAGTTGAATCCATTTTTTTGCTCACAGCATGTATTGTCACATAAGATTTGTCGCATACAACTATATTTAATACAGCCATGCACGGCGAACATTTTGACAAGCACGTTCACAACTCGCCNTTTATGAATTTGCATATGATAGATACGATAAACGCTTGCAAGCATATCGTGTGAAATCAGTTCTCGTATTATCGTTTTTATACGGCCATATTTTAAAAAATTGCTAGATAATAAAAGTTATTTATAATTGCGTAAGCTGTCCACAGAATTCCATTTGAATTGGGACCAGCGTGCGTCGGTCGCCAGCTGTTGCAAATAAATAAAAGTATATGAAATGTTTTTTCCTTTCAATCAAATGAGGGCAAGAAATATAATTTTTCAGGCAATTATTGATATGATTTGATAATTTATCTGTCGTTAATATGTTAATTTAGTGGCCAAAGTAGTCTCTGCCAAGCTTCATTATAGAACGCATATTTTTAACGTGCGTTCTGTCAAACCAACGCCAACTACAAAGTCAACCCGAATGCTCTATGTGGACCAGCCTTAATTATCAACACCCTTAATCAACAGCCTTAATTATTTAACACCCCAAATAGTAGTTTGTATTTTCTACATACATACATATGTATGGGAACTAAACCATAAATATTCATTTGAAAATGCTAATGTCCTACTCATTTATGAAATGAAAGACAAAATAATTATTTTTATAAATATTATATTCTCATTTATACATATGTAACATAGTTACTTAGCCGCATTACTTAGTAATTACTTGTATGTAAGAATACAAAGACAAATTATTTATCAGAAGCATTGCCCCTTACACAATGAAAAAAGGTAATATCAGCTCTGTGGTGTAGTGGTAAGCAGTGCGTGCTTTCACTCCGCAACGCATGGGTTCAAGCCCTGGTCAAAGCATCATCGCAAAAAAATATAGAAAAAAGGTTTTTCTTAACAGCGGTCGTCCCTCGGCAGGCAATGGCAAACCTCCGAGTGTATTTCTGCCATGAAAAACAGCTTCTCATAAAAATACAATCGCCGTTCGGAGTCAGCGTTAAACTGTAGATGCCTCCATTTTGTGTGACAACATCTAGGCGCACGCCACAAATTGGAGAAGTTCGGCCAAACACTAACATATGTGTAAGCGCCAATCTCTCACAAAAGCAAAATCGCAACAGCGAAAAAAGTGTTTGAAAACCCCGCATAAATTCAAATCTGCATAAAAAAGAACCGCATAAAAAGAGACCTAAGTTTATAAGTTCAAATTTTATAAGAAATTATTGAACATTAAAAAAATTATACCTATGTACATAGGTATGTATGCACATTAAAGTGGTCCAAAAATGTATGTAAACAAATAAGGTCGCATTTTTAAAGCCGCCAGCCCCTAGGATTGTTCTATACAAAAAGAAAAAAACCAACCGATTTTTTTATTTTGAAAAAAAAGAAAAAATTAGCGAACAATTAGCTCAAAGCGCTCAAAGTTTTCAATGTATTTTATATGGGAAAAACAACTTTTCGTAGAAATAGTGTAGAATTCTTGAAAATCAATATTTTTCGATCGGAAAAGTTTGCTTATCTTCAGGAGATTCCCGGTAATAATACCCAATTGTTCCTTTAACAATTTTTTCATGGTAACTATATTTTATATGCCCTAGAAAATGCAATGGGGGGACTAATAAAAAATCTTGAATCATAAAAAATGGTTAAATAAACAATTGGATATTAATATTTGAAGTCTCCTGAAGAGAACCACGGTTTTACGAATGAAAAATATTGA